TTGCTTATCGGCCAAGGGAGGTGGAGGGGAAGGGAGGAGGGGAAACCTCTTTTAGACTCTGACCTGGGAGAGGATGGAAACAGAAAGTTGAGCTGTTCTCTTCTGAGATCCCAGCAAAGCCTGTACCATGAGGATGGGGAAGAAGCAAACAGTGTGAAAACTATACTACGAGAAAATCTCTAGGAAGTTATTTTGGTCTCTTCTCAAAGGAAGGTGTTTCAGGAAAGAGGGGGAAATACACAGAGCGAGTCCCAGGAGACAGACACAACAGAAATCTGCAAAGTGTTTACTGGTCCCTCAGCAAACATTCCTTCCTTCCTTCATTCATTATTGGCAGAAATGACATGTGCTCATCAGAGAGAAACAGAGGACAGAGAGAGAGAGAAGGAGGGAGGGAGAGGGAGAAAGCACCTCCCATGGGGTGTGGTCATGCATAATCCATTCTCCTCCATTTCTCCATCCTGTCCGGATCTGGGGGGCGCATGCACACATGCCGGCCATATTTTACAAGCGTCCAGGTCAGGATTCAAACCGAGTGGTCGGCCATGTAGGACCCACCTCTTTTAACCACCTGGCCATGGGACCAGCAGCAGCAGATATTTATGGACTACTAGCTCTGTAGGCATTTTAGGCACTAGATCAGTAGGCTGAATAAGGTAGCCTATATATCTGTGGGGATTATAACAGGAGAGATGGGATATAGCACATAAATTGATGAATACACACATAGCCAACGTGCCAGGAGTTAAATATGGTGGTGAGAGGAGTAGCTATGGTGGGAAGGGACAGGAATTTCAGTTTGGTCATCCAGGGAGACCTTGCAGAAGCAAGGTTCCAAAGTAGAAATACGGAAACTTTTTTAAAAGAGATTTTTGCTGTAGAGCATGTGTGCTTGCCAGAGAGACAAAGACAGAGAGACAGAAAGCAAGAAATTACCCCTGGGGGATGACCATGCCATAATCCCTTCTCCTCCATTCTCCTCTCGGGATTTTGGGCACACACACACACACGTGCCCGGTGTGAGTTTAAGCCACCAGGTCCAGGACTCGAACCACAGTCAACTACATGGGAGTCCAGTGATGTAACCATTACGCTAACTGCTGGTCCCATGGAGACTTTCAATATCGTAACACCCCTGATAGAATTCCTACATGTATTATACTAACCGTAAAGGATCTCAGGCTCGTGGGGAAGGGCTGGGACATTTGGTTGTTCCTTTGCTGTCTATGAAAATTGCAATGATTCAATACAGGAGCATTGTCAAACTAACTGGACCATCTCATGGATACAACGATTCCTTAATTCTTAACTGGGCAGATAAGGCATTCCTTACATAAGTGGTTTTATGAGGGTGACGCAATCATTCGCAGCATGTGCACAGTGAGGGAAATTGAGTTTAGAAGGTGCTCAGAGATAAATATTTCAGGACCTTCGACGCGAAGGGCTTACTGCCAAGATTTCTCAAATTGGATCAGAATTCTATGTGAAATATGCATTTGACCTTACCCTCTATCTCCCAATTTCACTTTCTGCAAGAGTCTTGGGACAGTGTGCTCGCATCAAAATGTAAAAAGAATAATCACACTGCAAATACTTTTTTTGGACCAAAAATAGTGTTTTTACTGCTGCCTCACACCTATAATATTACATTTTTCTTTAAAAATGATTTATTTAATTATATTTATTATTATTATTATTATTATTATTATTATTTGTTTGGAGAGGTTTTTTTGCTATAGGGCGTGTGCGCTCACCAGACAGACAGAGAGAGACAGAGAGACAGAAGGCGAGAAATCACCCCCCCAGGAAGACGACCACGCTGCAATCCCTTCTCCTCCATTCTCCTCTCGGGATCTTGGGCATGCACGCACACGTGCCTGGTGTGAGTTTAAGCCACCGGGTCCGGGACTCAAACCACGGTCGACTACGTGGGAGTCCAGTAACATAGCCATTACACTAACTGCTGGTCCCTACTATTATTTTTAATTTGACCAGGGAGAGACAGAGAGAAAGGAAGAGAAAGAAAGGGAAAGTGAGAAAGCAAGTTGCCAGGTCAGGGACTTGAACTGCAGTCAGCCATGTGGAAGTCCAGCGCCTCAACAACCAGGCCACACGCTGGTCCCAGTATAAACAATTTTTCATTGTCAGAGGGCATATGTGCTCACTAGAGAGACAGACAGAGAGACAGAGAGAGCGAGAAAGCACCTACTGTGGGGCTTGGTCATGCTGCCATGCTTCCCCTCAGTTTCCCCATCCTGTTGGGATTTGGGGCATGAACATGTGCGTGTTGAATTTTTAACCTGTCAGGGCTGGTACTGAAACCCTGGGTGGCCATGTGAGATCCAGCTTTCTATGCAAAGTGCCGAATGGCTGTTCTATGGGGTTGACTCCAAATCCTCCTCCTCATGATTATTTTTTATTACTGTTACTTAAAATACAAGCTATATTGGGGCCAGCATTTGGTGTAATGGCTATGTCGCTGGACTCCCATGTAGTCTACTGCGGTTCAAGTCCTGGACCCAGTGGCTTAAACTCATGCCGGGCAGGTGTGCGTGTGTGCCCAAGATCCCAAGAGGAGAATGGAGGAGAAGGGATTGCAGCGTGGCCATCCCCCCTGGGGGGTGAGTTCTCGCTTTTTGTCTCTCTCTCTTTTTCTGTCTTTCTGGTGAGCGCGCGTGCCCTACAGTAAAATACAAGCTATAGCAATGATAGAGTATTCCTGTCATTCAAAGGAATGACCTGTTGAACTACATAGGAGAATAAATTCATCACCCCCATTCCATCCAATTAGCCTGCAGATTTCATTGGCGAAACAGATTTGACTTGGGGATAGAGTGGAATCAATGAGTTCCAAAGAAAAGATCTGTTTTGATGGGCTCTGATTGAGAATAGAAGGCATGACTGTTCACAGAGGGAGAGCCGTTTGATCAGGGCGTGACATTAGAACAGGTGTTTGCATACACCATACGTGTGTGTTTGAGTTTGCCGCTTTGGAAAATGAGAAGTCTTGACATTGAGAAGCCTTCGGTTATTCCCCCATCGCTCGGAGGAAACCACCTCTTTTTCTGAAGACATTGTGCTTGAGCAACGTTTCCCTGCAAGGTTGATCTGAACTAAGTCTGACAACAGAATAATGCTTAGCCGCAGAGCAGCAGGACACGTTTCTAACCACATCCAATGCATTTCTGCAAAGAAAAATTCAGAGTGGCTAACCTCATTCAAGACTCTTGTGCCTTCTTTCTGACCCGTGTATTCCTGTGTCTCCAAAGAGGTGACTGCCAGAGCTAACTGCTAAAACTCTCTCTTTTATCCCGAGAGACTACTTGCGATCCATCAGCTAGCAGGTGTCACTCTCGTCTGCTCTGAGGCTCCACCACATTGTATAAGCAACTTTCTTAAGTAACCTTTCTTTAAGAGACATTTTTGCTATAGAGCATGTGTGCCTGCTGGAAAGGCAGAGAGAGACAGAGAGACAGAAAGTGAGAAATCACCCCCCAGGGGGGATGGCCATACCACAATCCCTTCTCCTCCATTCTCCTCTCAAGATCTTGGGGGCATGCATGCACACACACCCGGCATGAGTTTTAAGCTGCCGGGTCTGGGACTCAAATAGCGGTCGACTAAGTGCAAGTCCGGCAACATAACCACTATGTCATCTGCTGGTCCCGGTAACTTATTACTTTCTAACCATTCTGCGGCTGTGATTTATGGACCTGTCTCCTTGGCAGCCATGGTGCTATTTTGGGAGCTAACAGACCTCGTGAGAGAATGAATGAATGGGTGAACCAGCGCGTGACATGCAGCCTGCAGCTCCATCATTAGAGACTCTGTCATCGACATAAGAAAATAAAAACAACTCTCTTCACACGGGCTGTGACCTTATGGAAATAAGACTGAAACAGCTAGTCTTAATATAGAGATGTACAGCGTGAGCCAATGGTACAGTGGTTTAGGTGGCTGGATACCACATGCTAACGGGGTGGTTCAAGTCCTGCACCCGGTTGTCCAACAAACACACCAAGCACATGTGTGTCCAAAATCCTAGGGAGAGTAGGGCCTAAGGAAGGACATTTACAAGAAAAATAGGGAGGCAAAGCATTAATGGGACAAAGAAATGTGGTATTATCTGTTGAAGATATTTTATAGTTTAACCAACTGGACTAGGGAGAAATGTCCACATGGTGAAATATTCACTTTGTAAGCTCAAAAAGGTCATTGAATGTATTAAAAAGTGAAATAAAAAAATCCTAGGAGGAGAATGGAGGAGAAGAGATTGTGGTGTGGCCATCCCCTCTGGAGGGAGCTTTCTCACCTCTGCTTCATCGCGTTCTGGTGAGCACATGTGCTCTATAGCAAACTTAAATACATATATATTTAAATGCCTATATATAGCAAACATATATATTTATAGGAATACACATTTTCACTTCTTATTACTCTAAAATGAGGTGCTGCATAGAGAGGGGCTGAGCATACCAGTGTACTGGGATTAGTCCTGCTGAGATTGAACACACCAGTATATCCATTGGAGCTGCATTGAATATTGATCGTGGGCCCTTCACTGGGAGAAGGACAGTGGGATGGAAAGCAAAGGTTGAGCTGGGGAATGAGACATGAAGGTTGAATGCTGACAGATTTGAATGCAGAGGCTTCATGGGACGGTCCTGCGTTCATGCTGAGTGTGCTTGGGCCGGTTGAGGCTGGGGTGGATCGTGGCATTGAGAAACCTCTTGGGATTCCTCTATTTTTCTCTTACAAAATAAATAAATAAATGGAAATGGCCCTTGCCCCAGGGAGTTCAAGAGGCTCCAGATAGATTATAGGCTTCTACGTCCTGTGGGGACCAAAACAGAAATGGCCATGTGGGTCTCTGACTACCCAATGACCTGCGACACAAGGGAGCACTAAGAGCGGACAATGAGGAAAAGCTCTAACGCCAAGGACGAGGAGACCTGCAGAGATGCTGGGAGGCCAAGATCATCCACGCCAGCCCTGCTCACCTTTATAGATCCCGTTGCTCCCTCCGTGTGTTTCCCCTTTGGTGCTCACTTCTTCTACGTGCGCTCCTTGGTCTGATGTGAAGTAGACGAGCGTGTTACTAGCCAGCTGCAGCGCATCTAGAACATTCAAGATCTGCCCTGGAGAGAGAAAAGACTCTGCTGTAAAATGGTCCAAGCTTCAGAGAAGAAAGGGAGATGGCGGCTCTCCTCGACTGGCTGTTTAACCCCTCAAAGAAGGAAGGAATTACTCATGAATGTTGGATCTGGTATAAGGTGATCCTAAAAGGGGATCAAGCTCTCCCTGACAAGGTTCTTAGAGCAGATATGAAGTAGATTCAGTCATTGCTTGAACTTCTGGGTATTGTGGAATTATTCTCCAACGAGAGCTGATGGAGAATTCTAGAATCAGGCTCATCAGCCATGAGCTGCTCAGAGGAAGGTACAAGACAGAGAGACCAAATTTCTGCTCTTATGACCTAGCCATGCCCGTGAGGTTGTGAAGATATCTACCGTTTGTGTGCTTTTTGAATGGGAAAACAAAACTGTCTAGGTTCCTCATATATGAACAACGATGTCTGCAAATATTTCATGATGAATATCTTCTTCCTTGTTTTTGCTATAGGGTGTATATACTCGCCAGACATAGAGAGAAAGAGAGAGAAAGAGTGAGAAATCACCCTACAGGGTGGATAGTCAAGCTACAATCTCTTCTCCTCCATTTTCCTCTTGGGATTTTGGGCAAGAATACACGTGTACTTGGTATGATTTTTAAGCCACCTAGTCTGGGACTTGATCCACAGGGTTGACCACATGGGATCCAGCCACCTTGACCTCTATATCACCTCTGGACCCATGATGAATATTTCCTTAATATTCACAGGCGATACCCACTTTTCCTTTAAAAGAATTATTTGATTTTATTCATCATTATTATTATATTTTTTAATTTGCCACAGGGCATGCACACTCACTAGAGAGAGAAAGAGAACAAGAGAGCAAGCGGCCAGGCCTGGGACTTGAAGTTGGTTGGCAGCGCGAGAGTCCAGCGCCTTAACTGCCATGCCACCTGCTGGCCCCAGAGAAATCCACTTCTAAAACTGTCCATCATGAAGAGTGACATTCATCATACTTTTCTTTTTCTTTGTTCTCACCTCCTTTCCCCAAATCTAACCTCATACACTACTCTTAAATAACATCTGTCATCATAGCACAAGAGCAACCATAGTAACAGTAGCAGTCACTGCCACCACCTGTGGGACTCCCTACACACAAAGTATTCTGTCACGTATTCTCTTATCTAACTCAATGTTTAAATTTTCTTAAAGTCTGTATGCCTATTTCTTAGAGAGATACAGAGAGGAAGACAGAGAGAGAGAGAGACTCCTAAGAGAATCTGCACCCGATAGCCTACTTGTGACTCATTTGGTTCAAATGACAGGCATGTGCGTGCTCAGCATGCTCAGGAAGGTCCTGGTACATGAACCTAGAACCTTTTTCATTTGGATCCAGTTGCACTACTGCTATGTCATGGCCTGGCCCCATGTTCTCTTGCATAGACCACACTCAACCCAATGAGTGACTATTGGGTTGTGGGGAACATCATGATGTATTTTTGCACAGAAAACCAGAAAAAGATGTCATGACTTTTCCGACAATCTAATAGTATGGTGTCCACTTTATACCCAAGAGCAACACAAATGTAAAAAGACAAGGAACCTGCTCAAGCTCAGACTGTGAGTAAGTGGGAGATCCAGGAAGTGAGAATTAAACCTGGTTCCCAAACCCAGACCCTCAAGCCTTGCAGAGGTAAGGGGATGAACTCAGTAGGAATCACACAGCAGTGATAAAAGACATTAGGAAGAAACATTTTTTTAGACACATACTGAGATACCCATGGATGAAATCATAGGATGATTATTGTCTTCTTCAGAATACTGTAGGAGGAAGACACATCGACTGTGGGGTATACATTAAATGAGATTCACCGTGAGTTGGTCATTGTTAAATATGGGTGAAGAGCACAGGGATGTTTGGCATGCTATTCAATTTCCATGTATGTGTAAGGTTTTCCATTAGGAAAAAAAAAAAAACAGAAGATAGTTGAAGACTGAAAAAGGGGCCGAACAAGGACTCTCTGATTAGAACATTATTATCAGTCCTCCAATCAGAAGATAATGATGGCTGAAGAAGAATATATGAAAATAGGCCCATCAAAATTCCTAACAATTCCAATTGCCCACACCATCACTCATAATTACTCTACCTCTCCATAAATAAGTGATGGTATTGAGAAAAAAAATCTCACAAAAAAAGCAGAAATGATACTTGCTATCCAGTCCATGTCCGAATTCTCACATGGACTCCGATGATGACTAGCAACAATGGAAAATCACCGTACAATGTGTAATTTCTGTGGAGATTTACATAATCACACGCCACATGCCTAATGCAGTACACACAGCTAGACTTTGAGGTACCAGAGTCTGAGTCCACTCTTTGATGTTTAACCGATGAGAGCGTTTAAACTGTCGCTCTTCCACTCATCCCTCACAAGGTGGTAAGAAAATCCTGCTAGGGACAAGGCTTGAACTATGTAAGCCCCTGCCTATATGCAAACTTTCGTCTAAGCTACAACTCCTAACCACTGTACAATCAGGATCGCTCTCTCTTGCTTGCTCTTTCAAGCTATTTTTGGAGCTGCTCAAGGGCCTCTCCTTATTCCCTCTAGAAAGTCTAATGATGTGAGTGATAAACGTTTTCATGTCTCTTTGTGTGTGAAGCGTTATTGGCCTTGACACAGTAACCACATTTTGGGCGGGATTCATCCAGTTGCAGGAGGGTGGCCATACACTAATTGATATTCTAAAAGGCAACCAGGAACCTTGGCACTGGAAATAATTAAACATGGGGTGCTGGATCCATAGTGTGGAGCAGGTAGCTGACGCACAGAAGAGATGGGTGACGTCACCCGCAGTTGCACCCTCACCTACTTGGTCTAGAAATGGGGGAGAAAGATGGTGGGACCACCTGCCCACAGAGGAGACAGAGATGATTTCCGATGGAAAGATAACACCCAAGTCATTTACTGCCAGATGTATTTTTGCTATTTCATTGCAGATGCTACCAGCTAGGGTATGTTCAATCTTTCTCAATTTTTAACTCGCATGATAAACATTCCTAGGACCGGCGCCGAGGACATAAATGTCATCGTCAGAACCAGGGAATGAGATCCCCGAGGGCTATTCTAGTGATCTGTCTGCCGTGATGAATCATGATCAGGCGGGTCAGGCTGACATTCATTGTGGAATTATCTGATGCAGCGAGAAAATCCACCTGTGTGCTTGGGCTTGGACGATTTGGCTTTGACACTGATTTAAGTCTGAGTACTTTGAAAATAGTAATTAGCCTAATGAGTTGAAATAGAAGCAACAAGGCAATACAACCCCCACTTAGACTCCAAAAGAAAGATGCCCCCTTCTGGTCACCTAACAACCTCTGTGTAAAACTATCCAAATTAGCAAAGTGGACGAAGATGGGGAATTTTACTTCCTTGGGTCATGTAGAAAGGCATGCAACCATATACATTCAATTCACATAAAATCCCACTTGGTTCAAACATCTTAGCCTAAAGAAAATGCTATGAGGGTCAGCAGGTGGCGTAGTAGTTAACACGCTGGATTTCCCACATGGCTGACCATGGTTCTAGTCCTGGACCCGGCTGCTTGAAACTCATGCCGGGCACCTGTGCATGTGTGTCTAAAATTCTGAAAGGAGAACGGGGAAGAAGGGATTGTGGCATAACAACCCCAAGGGATGATTTCTCATGTTCTCTCTCTCTACCTCACTGTGTCTTTCTCTTGTAAGCGTACATGGCAAAAACTCTTTAAAAAATGCAAGAGTTTAGGGAAGATAATTAGGGAGAAAAAAGTAGCAAGGCAAGACATTTGTGGGCCCCAGAAATGCTTGATTCCCTGCTGATGATGACGTGTATAGTATTCTCAACTAGACTAGTCTGAGGTGTATTTCATGTTGGGTAAATTCTCTCTACTAAATGATGCACAGTGACTGAGTGTATACAAAATAATTGTAATAATTTTAAGTATGTAAAAGGAACAAAAGGTGCACAGAAAACCTTGTCATAAGTATGCCGCTTCCATGACAACCCTTGTTCACACAAAAATTCACACTGAAATACTGATTCATGATGGCCCAAACCTTGAGAGCAACCAGGATGCCCTTCCACAGAGGAGTGGAGTCTCCAAGCCATGGAATACGGTGCAGTGTTCCATGAGATGAGTTCTCAAGCCATGAAAAGAGAACCCTTACATAGATAGGGTTCAGATGGTGGAAGAACAGTAATGACACGGGACCCACAGGTGCAGGTCCCTGGTTCATGCCTGGGACCTCCCTGAGCACACAGGGCACACAACGCCTGTGATCCCTGCGGGTAGAGGCTGGGGTAGATCCTGGGATCTATCAGGCATCTGTTAGGAGGGGTGTGCTTCTTTCTCTTTTCCTCTCTCATGAAATAACCAGACTTTAAAAATCATCTTTTGGGGATAGCAGGTGGAATAGCACTTACATGGTTGGACTCCCATGTGGCCAACCATGGTTTGAATCCCGGACCCAGTGGCTTGAAAATCACACCATGCACCGGTGCAAGTGTGTCCAAGATCCTGAGAGGAGAATGGAGGAGAAAGGATTGAGGCGTGGCCATCCCCTCTGAGGGGGTGATTTCTCACTTTCCGTCTCAATGTCCCTGTCTCTCTCTCCTGTGAGCACACATGCCCTAAGGAAAAAGCACTTAAAAAAAAAAAAAAGATTTTTTAAATTTCAGTTTTTTGTTTGTTTTTGTTTGTTGGTCTGTCTGTTTTGCCACAGGGTGCATGTGCTTGGCAGAGAAAGACTGAGAAAGGTAGAAAGAGAAATCCACCTATAAGGGAGATGGCCACGCCACAATCCCTTCTCCTCTTCTGTCCTTTCGGGATTCTGGACACACAAGCACGTGCAACCGGTGTGAATTTCAAGCCACGGGGTCTGGGACTCGAACTGCGGAGTCAGCCATGTGGGAGTCCAGCACCCTGGCCACCAGGCCACCCACCAGCCCCCATGTGTTCATTTGAAAACACATCTTTCAC